TCAAGGTAACAAAATTTGTAGGGTCAGAGATATTAGAAAGGAAGCAAAGGTGCTAAGGCAGAAACCGTATGTACAACAGGGAAACAATTTCCAGATAATAATGCCCAGAGTGTGTCTGCAGGAGCTCTGTAAGTGAAGGAGTCTATTATAGCCATGTCCTTATGCCCTAAGCTGAAAACTTCTTATTGAGTTCTATTGTTTAGGTGTGTGGATGCCAGGCACTTGGAAGGGTGGCTCTTTGCTGAAAATCACCAGAAACATGGGTGGAACATTTCTATCGTTCATGTGTGTATAAATTTAACAATTGTAAATCTGACCTAATTATAAAGACATTTTTATTTCTATACAGGCACTGTCTTGTCATGTTCCTTTACTATGAAAACTCACTTATGTTTTCTTCCAGGGTAGAATTTCAGATATTATTATTATTATTATTTTTTGATGATGGGACATTTCCCTTGATGAACCTAAACTGGGACTAAGAAATAAACTATTGGGCTTAAGGGAATGAGGAATTTTTTTTAAGACATCCACCTACAATATTTCCAGGCCTGAATAACAAAAGATGAATGTACAAGACGGTACAGTAAAATGTTGCTGGAAGGGACGGCTCCCTTTCCAGTGCCCTCAAATCGTGCAAACTCTTGAGGCCCACGTTAGCAGCTCTGCATTACAGATGTCACTTTTGCTTTCATTTAATGCATTTCACAGTCATGGTAGATGAAAACTGTTACTTCAGTGAGGAATATAAATATTTTCCTTCCTGTATGGTGTTAACACCTAGGTAACAAAGTTTTTACACCACTGCCAACAAGAGTAACTACATCATGAAGACTGAAGCACAACTGTTCCTTAATAAATGCTTATACCATTAAGAAATTTAAAACTCAGTACTGTCTAGTCCAAATGCTCAACTTGGCCAAAGTCACATTGTTGAAAGAATTAAGAATCAAGGTTAACAACATGGATAGATCTTGAGATAATCATGCTAAGCAAAATGAGTCAGACAGAAAAGGATGAGAATCATATGATTTCACTCATATGTGAGATATAAAACTGAAAGTAACAAACAAACAAGACAAACAAATAAAAACTCAGACACAGACAACAGTTTAGTGTTTACCAGAGTGAAAGTGGGGAGGGGATAGGTTAGTCAGGGTAAAGGGGGTCAAATATATGGTGACTGAAGGAGATTTGACTTTGGGTGGTGAACACACAATGCAATATACAGATGATGTATTATTGACAACTTGAAACCTATATAATTTTATTAACCAATGTCACCTCAATAAATTTTTTAAAAATATATTTTAAAAAGAAGAAAAAGTATGTTTATACTCAAAAAAAAACAAAAAAATAATAAAACATAATAATCAAGGCCCTTAATCTCAGGTGAATGATATTTTCACTATTCTGGGCCAGCTGAAGAGATGAAATTTTCTCCTCTGCCCTTTATTTTCATTCCTAAATACCACTACTCTAGGACCTGACCTCAAATTATTCAGTCTTTTAGCTTGGAGATTTTTCCAGTAAGATCACCTCAACCGAATATACAACAAACACTTCGCTGTCCACGCTTCCTTTTTAAAGGCTCTCTTGAATTTGACTTTCATCGTTTAAACCACTCAGTTATTTCCAGTTCCTCTCGCTGTCCTTCATCTCCCCGCTGCCCTCTGACTGTGAGTGCTCCCCAAGACTCCATCTTCCACTGCTCTTCAATCAATAACCTCTCTGTGACTGGCTTCCATAACTTCAGCCCTGACCTCTCTGAGCTCCAGATTCATGTCTCCAGGCAGTTTCTGAATATTTTTATGTTCTTATCTCCCCGAACTCAATATGTCCAAAAATATGTCATTTCTCTTTCTGCATATTTTATTCAGCTTCCTAAAAGTATTATCACTTTGCCATTCATGCAAGAACTTTAGTCATCTCACTCATCCTCTACCTCTACCCAGTCCTACTGATATTTTAAAAATTCTTTGTGTTCCTTTTTGAACCTCCATACACTAGGTTGTTGTCAGCCTCTCAACCAGTCTCTCCATCTCCAACTCATCATCTTTCTTAAATGTCTACTTTAACATGTTAATCTGTTGTCCAAAAAAATCTCTCGTTTTTCTTAGCTAGGATCTTCTCTAATCAGGTGGGTCTACTATTTTCTCATTGTACTTTCTCATTCCTCCACCTGTACATAATAAGCCCAATAGCTAGAGTACACATCTTTCTAATTGTCACTTGTTCAAATCCTGACTGCCTTTAATGGCGGTTCAAGTCCGGTCTCTTCAATGAAGCTTTCCATTACTGTTCTTGAATTTACTACCTAGACACCATAATTTTTGGTGCTCAGTTGCTAATCACTCTATGTGTTAACTTCCAAAATGTCCTAGTATGGATATAGGAACCACACCTTACATGTCTTTGCTGCTTCTGAAAATATCCCAATAACTATATTACAAAAAATATATCATGAAAAAATGAAGTATAGTAGATAAGAGAACATGATTACAAAGCAGAAAATTCTGAGTTTAGATCCTGGCTATGTTTTTTTCTGGATGGGTAACTTTGGACAAGTTACTTAACCTCTATAAGCTTGTACATCTATAAAATGGAGATAATGCCACCTATTTCATAGGGCTGTTATGAAGTTCAGCAGAATGTGTACGTACATATTTGTACAAACACAGACAATGTTTAACATAGTATCTGGTTCATAGTGAGTGCCTTTTTAAATATTTTTCCTACACTGGGCATTCTTCTTTGGTCAAAATTTTAAATTGCACAATCTACAGATTCAATGCAATGAGTACCAAAACTGCAATGGCATTTTCCATAGAAACAGAACAAACAATATCGAAATTTGTATGGAATCACAAAAGACTATGAATAGCCAAAGAAATCTTGAGAAATAAGAACCAAGCTGGTGGCATCATACTCTCTCATTTCAAACTATATTATAAAGCTATAGTAATCAAAACAGTATGCTACCGGCATAAAAAGACACATAGATCCATGGAGCAGAATAGAGAACCCAGAAGTAAATCCAAGCTTATATAGTCAATTAGTATATGACAAAGGAGCCAAGAATGTACAACAGGGAAAAGACAGTCCTTTCCATAAATGGTGTTGGAAAAACTGGACAGACACATGCAAAAGAATAAAACTGGACCACTACCTTATACCACACACAAAAATGAACTCAAAATTGACTAAAGACTTGAATGTAAGACCTAAAACCATAAAACTCCTAGAAGAAAACATAGGCGGTAAGGTCCTTGAAATTGGTCTTGATGAACATTTTTTAAATCTAAAACCGAAAGCAAAAGCACCCAAAGCAAAAAATCAAAGTGTGACTAAAAAGCTTCTGCCCAGCAAAGAAAACAATCAACAAAATAAAAAGGTAACCTATTGAATGGGAAAAATATTTGCGAATAATACATCTGATAAAGGGTTAATATCCAAAATATATAAAGAACTCATAAATTCAATAGCAAAAAACAAACAAACCAATTATTAAATAGACAGAGGATCTGAACAGACAATTTTTCAAAGACTACATACAGATGGCCAACAGGTATGTGAAAAGACGCTCAACCTCATTCATCATCAGGGAAATGTAAATCGAAACCACAATAAGATATCATCTTACACCTTGTCAGAATGGCTGTTATCAAAAAGACAAGAAATAACATGTGTTGGCAAGGATATGAAGAAAAGGGAAACTCTCTGTACTATGGTGAGAATGTAAGTTGCTACAATATGGAAAACAGTTTGGAGATTACTCAAAAAATTGAAAATACAACTACCATAATATCCAGCAATTCCATTTCTGAGTATTTATTCCCCCCACCCCCCAAAAAATGAAAACGATGACTTAAAATGATATCTGTAAACTCATGTTCATTGCAACATTATTTACAATAACCAAAATATGGAAAAACCTAGGTGTCCATCAACAGGCAGATAAAGAATATACACACACATTACGAGAAAAAATTCTGTAACTAAGTATGGGAACAGATATTAACTAGACTTATCGTGGCAATCATTTCACAATATATACCAATATTGAATCACTAGGTTGTATGTATACTTGAAACGAATATAGCATTGTATGTCAATTACACCTTAATAAAAATATAAATAAAATAAATAAAAATAAGCAGCAAAGGACAGTTTTTAACATGCTGCCAAAATTCCATCTCACACAAAGTTTTATACCACCAATCACTGTATTTAGCCAAAAATTACTTTTCTAAGCTACATTCCAGAAGAGCAGGAGAGGCAACTTTTAACTTTCAGGCTGTGCCCAGAGGTGAAGATCTGGTGTATAAAAGTATGCAAGATCAGTTTCATCTACATACATAATTCGATCCAGCATGATTTTCAGCAATTACCATTTTAATAATACAGTTACAGCAGAACTAAAGAATCTTCGGTAAGGCTAGAAAAGTTTCCAGGAAACCTAGCCAATGCATAAAGATTTTGTGAGCAGGATTGCTAGAGCCCATCAAAAATGAGAGCTCAATGATTAGCGACCTACTGCAGCTAGCTTTTTCTGTGAAGGGCTTAAGCTATTCTTCAGCCAACAAGACAATGACCAACTCTGACTAGCAGCTTTAAAAAACAGAATGAAAATGCTGCAATATAGTACATTAAAAATGAACAACCTGGCCTTTTGTTGGCTGAGGTAGTTCTTTTTTTCCCTAATGAAACAAACAGTCTTTTCTCCTTTGTGCAGCAAGTCACAACTTTCCCTAGGTTAAGTCATACTGTATTTAAAAAATCAGATGCTAAGCCTTCACTAAAGTTCCAGGACTTTTCCACCAGGACTATCTATGATCTTGCAGTCAATGCCATTGTTTCCGTTTGCCTTGATCTGGGCCTCCCACAAGGCTAGGCAGCCACAGGGTGAGTGTCTCTACATCATCACCCAACTGTCTCCCTTCACAAACCCTGGACTCATTATTTCTGCAACCCTAGGAAGGGAAATTGCATGGCCTTACCGCAGATGTTAGACGAGCAAGAATTTCATCGCTGCTTTCTTCCGAGTCTTCGATTTTCTGATGAGACCTTTGAAAAACAAAGAATGAATTAACCTTCACCTTTGGTTGCTCAAATTTTTCTATCAAGTTATGGGGACTATGTAGCAAATAATGGCATTACTGTGTAATATACTGGTGAAGGTATGCATGCAAATAATGTGGTGTCAGCGACGCCCTGGAAACACAACTCTGTGGCAGCCCAACTGTTCTTTCAAAATCAGTTAGCAAGTACCTGTTTACAAAGCACCAATTAAATCCTGAGGCTGGAGTATTGTTCTCCAAATGATTTCATGGAATAATTCTGACACACTAGATTTACAAATACGGGCACGCACAAAACATAAGGAAATGTGACTACATGGTGGTTAAGGACTGAAATTCCCTCTGGTCTAAATGAAACCCAGATTTTGAAAATATAAAACTAGAGTTTTCCACTATATTTGAGATTCAGCCAAAACAGATATATTATGAAATGGTCTACTACAGGCCCAATACTATGATAGGAATTATGAGGAATACAATAGCAGAAGCTTTTGTTCTTTTTTTAAGATGCCACAGCCCAGCTGATAAGCCAAGGAAATTTTGCATAAGTTAAATAACTGAAGAAATATATAACATATTACATAGTATATGATCAGTTTGTTTGTTTAGAAAAAAAACACCTTTCTAATGTAATTCATGAAAAATTTTCACCGCATAAATACACACACACACACACACACACACAAAGCTGCATTTTTTTTCCGGGTTTGATCAAAGAAAAAAAATTAACTGATGCCGATTGAATACATAGAATTGCCTCCCCGATCTATTTCCACAAGCAATCCCTTTCAACACCTTCTGTGGAATTGGAGGGGTTGGTGGTAATTGCCCCGCAGAGCAGAGTTATCAGAATGGCAGCCCAATGATTGATTTCAATCTCAGTGACTGCAGTGGGCCAGCTGGAGTACTAGCCTGTGGGGCAGGAGGGCTTCTCCCGGCTTATAGCTCTTTAAGAAGGGAAAAGCTAGTGGCATCAATTCTGTCATTGCCTTCCTGTTTCTGTACATGCTATTAAACCCTTTTATAAAAAAAAAAAAAATGCCATACCCTTTAAATCAAAGCAATGAATTACAAACTACTACCTTTACAAGAATTGTGTGATACAGGTGTGAAGCAGAGCCGATGCTGTTAAACGACTTCATTATTTGTACATCAAAGTGTTCAAAATGTTAGCTAATAATCTTCCCAATAAAAACAGTGGGAACTGAACACTATAACTTACTGTATTCCCAAAAAAACAAGTTACCTTGATAATGAATATTTCAAACAATGAGTTCCATGATTAAAATCATCTATTCACAAGGTTTCCTTATACATGAAGTTGTACTAAGAGGTTTGCAACCCTTTATAACCTAAGCCACCAAACCAGATTTATATGATTAAGCCAAAGTACTCAACAGATTGGACAGAAAATTAAGCACCAAACACCAAAGACACAAGAGCACATTCCAAGGGCTTCGATGTCCCATCTGTGTCTGCGGTGAAGCATGGGCGGGCCTTGCTGTCTCATGTTTCTCAGACCCCAGCAGATACCTGAAGGATTAGTCAATGGGACGAGGTATTTTGCACAACCACACATTCTGTCCTAAGTGTGTTTTCAACAAACTGCTGAAAGAAACTCAGAATTCCAAGGGAAGCTCTTGTGTATGTGACTGATAATGGCCACTTCATGAGTAATGGCTGAGCAGTTGCTGGTTTAATGACAAATAATTTAGTCCCTGTCCAGAAGCAAAACTATCTTTCATCATTCTTCCAGCACAAAATATGCCTTGGCAAAAAGGTTTCTAAAGGAAATGCGTGTAAGAAAGACGAGTGATGATCTCCCGAGAGCTGCCTCGCAGCCCACATACCATTTTTATCCCCTCGGTGATTTATGCCTAGAACTCTCAAGCCTTTCTCCAGCTCCTGAATCTCTCCTGGGCTCACCTTGGTTTTCCATCTGCATTCAGAGTGGCTCTGAGGTGGCAATTCCAGAATACTTTCACCCACGTGGGGATCTTATAGGCTCCTCGAACTCAAAATAACTTAGCTTGTACTCCTTGTGCCTCCTGCCCTCATTGTTTCTACTTGTGCTTCTTACAGCTCAGCTTCACAGTCACCCTGTGGCCGGTCCCTCCCTCCCGCCCTCCCACCCTTGCCAGACACCAGCTCTTCTCACTTCTGGTCCGCAAGCTCTGCTTTCCTTCAGTCCCTCCCTGTCGAGCCTCAGTGAAGCTCACTGAAAGTGAGGTCCTCACCTTTTCTTGCACGAATTATTTTAACTACCTTCTGACCCATTCCTTTATCTCTGGCTTCTCTGGTTTTCAATCTCCTATAGATACCAGATTATTTTTCTAAAACCCAGATCTGGTCCTGCTATTCTCCAGAGTCGAAACCATCAAGAATTATTCCGCTGCCTACCGAGAGCTCTAGAATTCAGAAATAATCTTTTCCTGCTAAAGTGTTCCATTCCCTTTCCCCCGCCCACAACCGCATCTGCAGGTACCTGCACCTCACCTGGCAGAAAGGAGGAAGAGGGTGCAGAACTGGCGGTAATGGGTAAACAGTGGAAGAGCTTGAAAAGAGGGAAGGAAGAGAAAATAACAGTCACTCTCCTTCCCTGCCACTGTGGTTCCTTCCCAACTCGGTGCCAAAATGCCCGGAAATACCAGAGTCTCTTTTCCCAGCAAATGTACTTTGACGAAAATGTAGATTAATTTTGATTATTTTATGGAATGTAAATACACATCGGTGCAATCCGGTGAAGACAAAGTTCTCATGTAGCAGATCAAAATAGATAACGAAACAGATGGGGCAAAGGAGAGCAAAGAAAATAACGAAATACTTTAACTGCACGTTTTCCAATTATTACCAAAGCGGGCTGTGCCACTCAGGGAACGAGAGAGGAAGAGAGAAGCTGAGTGTGGTTTGTCAGGGGTTAGAGAAAGGAAGTAAAGAAAGCCTCACTGGAATCAGCAGGTAATGGCAGTGACAGGTTGGCATTAAGACAGAAGAAAAAAGAAGTGACCCCCAAGAAGGAAGACCCATCCTCAGGGTTGTGCCAGGAGGAAGCTCCAACAGTTACTCGGCTTTTAGAATTCTGGGATTGCTTCTCCGCTTATCAACAGCCCTGGCCCGAACACAGTAATTCTCCAAGGAAAAGCGCTGAGTCCTAGTGCTGTGGGCAGATGTCTTTATAGGTTCGAGAGGCCTGCGATATCTAGGGGTGAAGCTGTGAGGACACAGTAATGGCAAAAGCTTGTGGTCCTCCGCCCTTGTAATCTCTAACATTCGTTGTATCCAGCCTTCAATGAAACAAACAAACAAACAAAAAAACCCTGTTTCCCCTACGTTCTTGGCCTTAATTAATGGCAACTCCAACCTTCCAGCTGGAAGTCTCCCCACTGATGCACACCCACCCGCCCGCACTCCCCACCCTGTATCCATCCTGAAATCCTACTGGCTTCAAGGTGTATCTCCTATGTGATCACTTATCACCACATCTACTATTACCACTGTGGTCCCAGCCATAAAATCTCTTACCTGGATCCAGGAGACAGTGTGGTCTTGTTAATATGTAAGTTAGATCATGTCCCTTCTCTGCTCAGAATCCAAGAATCACTCAAAATCTAAGCACAAAGCCAAAGCCTTTACAATGGCAGACAAAGCCCTGGGGATCCAGCCTCAGGGTAATTTTCTCATTTCTCCATCTCTTCACCCTCCTCCAGCCACATTTGCTTTGCTTTTAATGCTTCTGCCTTGAGCCTTGGTGTCCACTCCACCTAGAACAAACACTTCCCTCGATATCCACATTGCTTTTCTCTTTATGTCCTTCACGTCTCTGTGAACTTCCTGGACAAGCCTTTCCTGACCCATATCTGTATCCTTCATTTCCTACTTTATTTTTCTTCATAACGTTTTCCACTTTTAACCAACATAAATCTGTTTATTTATGAAACGATCTATCTTCGCCTACTAAATTCTAGGCTCCATGGGAGATTCTCGTCTGTTTGTTCATTGTTACATTCCCAACACTTAGAACACAACCTAGGACATAAGAGGCATTCAATAAATATTTGCTGAATAAATTGAGTACTTTAAATTTCTATGAACCACCATCTCAGGACTATGCACAAAATAGTAACTTGTCCCATCAGTTCAACTGAAGGACCCTGCTTATACTCATTCTCATTAGCTATCCATCATTCTTCCAGCAACCTGCAACAGGTCTTCCTTTCAATGACCTCCTTGTCACTAAAATCCATCAAGGCTGACTTTCTAATATCGAATTCCAAACAGGTGGTAATTTTGAAAATATCTTAGATAACAGCAACATAATTACTCACCCCTACCTCCTCATCTTCACCTAAGAAATAAGAAGTACAGACTGAGTGCCAGCTCCCCACCAAGGCAATTGTTGGCCAGACATTCGCACAATTCACAATGCAACAGTGAACAACAGGAGCAGGAAGCTCCCCACCTGAGAAGTCTCCCAACACCAGCTCTCAGCTCATCATGGTTGAGTTCCCATAAAGAGCCTTAGGAGGTAGCTCGCAGGAGCCATGACCTGAGCAATGGAATACACTTTATACCAGTCAGTCCCAGTATAAGCTCTAGCAACTTGGATTTAACTGGTATTCCTTGCAGAGGTGCCCAGAATTCTCTTTGTGAAAATCCCTTCATGAGAATTAGTATAATGGGTTTCAATTTTTTTTAATTAATTAGTTAATTAATTAATTAATTTTTAATTGAAGAAATGATTTAAAAATTTTCCCCCATCTACCTCCTCGCTCCTCTCTGTTAACCACTAGTCCATTGTCCATGTCCATGAGTCTCTATTTGTTTGTCCTGTTCATTTGTTGCTTTTAGGTTTATATCCCACATATAAGTGATATCATGTGATTTTCAACTTTTTCTGTCTGGCTTATTTCGCTTAGTATGATTATTTCGAGGTCCATCCATGTCATTGCAAATGGCAATATTTCCTCTCTTCTTATGGCTGAGTAA